GTTTTTTATATTAATTTTAATTCTAGTTATAATGCTGATTTGATATGCTCTATCTGTTGAATTTAAATATTAGATGGATTTTTCTAAAAAGCTTATAACATCATTTTTTATTTTTCTTAAGTTTTTTATATTGATTTTCAAAAAATTTAGCCCAAATTAGTTTTTTTTATACGACTTTTTCTTTTGTTAATTTGCCTCTTTTGATAATGATTCCTATTTTGTTTTGAAACATAAATTTATAACATGTTGAAATCTAAAAAAGCTTTTAATAAAAACATGTTTAATTTCTCATCATATCATAATAGCTTTAAAATAATTTTGGTTTCATACCTAAAAACACAATATGAAGTTAAAGTATGATGAGGTACATGCATGTGAGCGTACTTATCATGTCAAATAGTCAGTATAATCAGTAGTTGTTTATATTTTTGTTGAAAAAAACCGGGTGAAAAAAGTGGAATTCAAAAATAATACTTCTACATGATGCAATTTAAAGTATGGTGTTGAGAGTTAAATAAATCTTATTATCTAATTTGTTTTAAGATTCATCATATTTTCATAAAGAGTAGTAAAACAATGATAATTATATGTTTGAGACTACGAACCTTGAATTTTTTTTGGGTTTATAATTGTGGATATGAGCACGACAGGTTTAACAACACTTTTCATTATTTTTCTTTGAAAATTGGCGGAAGAGTAACACGAACAATTGGCCCACTGTTTAGAAAAAATATAAAAGGGTGGTATGTAAGCTTAAATTGTATTCCAGATTAGAATATATATAAATTATTTGTTGGGAAAACATGCTTATCTTTTTAATTACAAGTGAATATTTATTTTATTATGGCTTCTACCATTAACGATATCATTAACTCAATTGGACAAAGAAAGTTTTCGTCGTTGATGATGATCAGTTTTCTAATACCATCTAGATAATAAATAATATTATTATATATTTGTATATGTGCAATGCATTATAACTTATAAATTTTTCTAATCTATGCTATAAGTTTTAACTTTTACAATATTGATTTTTTGGTTAGTTTGACTTTTTTACATTAAATTTCTATTTAATTTCAAGGGATACTATTTTTGATTTTTTGTAATATAATTTCCTTTTCTATTTGTTACTTAAGCTTTTTTTTTTTGACTTTTCAATCTATAAAATGAAATTAACGTTTTTTATTTACTTGTCAATTAATTTAGAAGTTAGAATTTTCTTAATCTACGTTATAAGTTTGAGCTTTTTTGATATTTTTGTTTTGTTAGTTTATCTCTTTTGAAAACAAATTTCTATTTTATTTTGAAGGATACTATTTTTTTTTTGGTTTTTTAACATAATTTTCTTTTTGTATTTGTTAGTTAAGCGTTTTTATTTTAATTTTTTAATCTGAAAAACGAAATTAATGTTTTAAATTTTGACGGATGCTATATTTTGGTTTTTAACACAATTTGTTTTTCTATATGTTACTTAAGCTTTTTTATTTTGATTTTTTCATCTATAAAGCGAAATCAATGTTTTATATTTTCTGGTCCATTAATTTAGAAGTTAGAATTTTCTTAATCTATTTTATAAGTTTGAACTTTTATGATATTGGTTTTTTTGTTAGTTTAACTCTTTTGAAAAAAAAATCTATTTTCTTTTTGAGGATACTATTTTTTTTTTGTTTTTAACATAATTTTCTTTTATATTGGTTACTTAAAATGTTTTATTTAATTTTTTTATGATTAAAATAAAATTAAGGTTTTAATCATACTTAATATTTTTTGTGAATTTTCCTAATCTATATTATAAGTTTGAACTTTTCTGATATTGGTTTTTTTGTTAGTTTAACTTTTTTGAAAATAAATTTCTATTTTATTTTTAAGGATAATATATTTTTTTTTTTTGCTTTTTAACATAATTTTATTTTCTATTTGTTACTTGAACTTTTTTATTTAATTTTTCCATGATTAAAACGAAAATAAGGTTTTAATGACACTTAACATTTTTTGTTTTTTGTGCCATCAATTTTTATATAGTATAGACTAGGTTTTTAACTCTGTATTAGTAGTTTGGTTTACTTCTTTTTTTAGTTATTACTTTTTAAATTATCAAAATTATAATAGATAAAATTTCCTTTTATATATAAGAGAATTTAAAATACAACATGTAGTTTTCCCCAATTTTTTGTTTATAAAAAATTAAATCTTACTAAATAAAATAATAACAATGACACTTATCAAATTATCCAATTTTGACATGCACACACGTTTGATTTAGAGAAAGGTTTTTTTGCTAAGATCTTGATGTTTTGTTTTATTTCCAAAGAAATTATATATTTCTTTTTTCTGTAAGGTTTATATATTAAAATTTTATTTTTTTGATTGAATATCTCATTGATGTTTTGTACCTATGCATATATATAGAATTCATGATTCATGTTGATTCACATTTAGTTTTGTTAGAAACTGCAATGATCGTACAAAGCCATTTCCTACTTCTCCATCATGTCTTCCATGAGTTTTATTTTTATATCTTTATTCAGTTTATCATTGAGAATTTTTTTGGCAGTTTAATATTTGATAATTCTAGTTTTTAAATTTGTAGGATGGATGGTGTGCAGTCTTCATATTTGCTTTTTTATCTTTTGTGTGTTTTCTGCATATTTTGATTTGAATATTTTATCTTGATATATCAATTTGAGTTTGATTCTTAATTTTATCATATTTTATTATTTAAATACAATTTTATAGGTCTGTGCATAAAAACCGGACCCGAAAAATCCACCCGAACACGACCCAAATTTTATGGTATCGAACCGAACCGAAATAATGTAAATATTCGAAAGGAGTCTTTACCTCTATATCCGAAGAACCGGTACCGTATCCGAACTGAACCGAGAACCGAACGGATACCCGAAATATTTGTGATATAATGATATATATAAATATTAGTGTTGGCTCTGATATAAGTAGTGGATATATATTAAAATTAGATTTTACTGCTTGTTAAATTTCAAGTGTAAAGTTACTTATGTAGTATTTTTGTTAGTTTTAAAGTCAGAAGCACCTACTGTATTAACTTTTGTATATCTACAGAATATGTTTGATTAAAAAAATTATGTAAATATATTGCAACTTTATATAGTTATTAATTGTAGATACCAATACTTTAAAAATCTTTTACTTTACATCTTTTGATAGTAAATTTATATTTTATTTTAATTTTTGTGATTTTTTTTATATGTTTGATATACTTAGGATTTATATTTTTTATGATTAAGCTTTTTGGTTGTTGATTCTAAAAATAGCTAGCATAGATATCAAGTTAATTTATTTTACTTGAATGTTGTTTTTTTTAAATTGTTTTTTTAATATTAGTTTTCATTTTAGTTATAATATTGATGTGACATACTATAACTGTTCATTTTAAATCTTATATAGATTTCTCTCAAAATATTACTGCATCATTTGTTTTTGTTTTTGTTTTTAAAGTTTTTAATGTTAGTTTTCAAAAAATGTTAGCCTAAATATTAGGTTAATATTTTTTATATGACTTTTTCCGTTGTTAGTTTATTTTTTTTATATTGATTCTTATTTAATTTTGAAACATAATTTTTCTGTAAATGTTGACGTTTTTACAGACAATTTTCTTTTCTTTTTTCTGTTAATGAGACTCTTTTATGTTGAAATTTTTAAATAGTTACCATATATATCAAGTCATTTTTTAGATGATTATTTTAATATTTATTTTCGTTATTAATACCAATTTTAATTGTATTAACATTTAGTAAAACATAATTTATATTTTATTTGTTTTTGTTTATTTTTTATATTAATTTCTTAAATAGTTTGTTTTTAAAAAATTACTCATGTAAAGTATATATTTAAAAAAAACTTTTGTTAATTTAGCTTTATGTTATTGATTTTTTATGTTAATTTTTAAAAAATGTTAGCCTAAATATCAAGTTAGTTTTTTTATATGACTTTTTTTCTTTTGTTAGTTTTCTTTTTATATTAATTCTTATTTAATTTTAAAACATAATAATATTTTTACAGTTAATTTGCTCTTTTTCTGTTAACGAGACTCTTTTATATTGATTTTTTAAATAGTTAGCATATATATCAACTCAATTTGTTTTTCAATGATTTTTCAATATATTTTTATATTAATTTCAATTTTAATTATATTAACATTTTATAAAACATAATTTACATTTTATTTGTTTTGTTCATTTTTATATTACTTTCTTAAATTGTTCTTCTAAAGCTTTTGTTTTATATTGATTTCTTTAATAGTTAGTTTAAAGCTAAATTTAAATAAATTTTTTATTTAAAGTATATTTAAATTTTTTTTGTTAAATTAAATTTTTCGTTATAGATTTACATATTTGTTTTCTATTGCTTTAGATTTTGTGAATTTAGTTTCCATTTTATTTTGACAAATTCTATAAGCTTAGATTTCTGACACAACTTCTTTTATCTGTTTTGGTAGTTCAACTTTTTTACCTTTATTTTCCATGCTACGATAATATTTTTCCTTTTTGTGTATTTTAAATTTATTCAAATTACTAATTATATTTAACATTTTTTTGTTTAATAAAAAATGTTGATGTGGACCAATGAAATTGAGTTTCATAATAAATTTTTCATTTAAAGTATATTAAAATTTTCTTTTGTTAAATTAATTTTTTTATTATAGATTTACATATTTATTTTTTATTGCTTTAGGTTTTGTGATATTTAGTTTTTATTTTATTTTAACAAACGCTACAAATTTATATTGCTGACATGATCTTTTGTTAATTAAACTTTTTTATCTTTATTTTTTATTCTACCATCATATTTTTCCTTTTGTGTATTTTAATTTATTCAAATTATTAATCATATTTTAAAAAAAATTGTTTAATGAAAAATGCTACGTGGACCAATCAAACTTTTATATATTATTTATGTAATGCATATTTCTTTTACAAATTTTATGGTATGAAGACCTAATTGTCTCGCCTCCCACCTCCATGGCCGCGCAGCTTCCGTTTGTAAGAGCTATATAATAATTTTCGTTGACTAAATATTGAAACACAGAGGAGACCTAATATGGCTCCACAGATTCCGTGCGACTTGGAGGAAGAGATACTCTCTCGTCTTCCACCTAGATCTCTTTATCGTTTCAGAACTGTATGCAAACGATGGAACGGTGTTTTCATTCCAAAATAACCACCTGTCTCGCTCCCGTCCCCAATTCATCTTCCTGACCGGTTCCAAGATTTATTCGATAGACATAATCAAACCCAACAGCAACGCGCCAAGGCTAGAGTTGCGTGAGGTACCCTCCGATCTTATTCCTCACCGAGGTTTACGTTATTATCACAGAATCATCAGTACTTGCGACGAGCTCTTGTGTTTTCACGATATGGGTTGGACCTGAACAGCGCTGCTCTGCAATCCGTGGCTGAGACAGGTTAAAGGGATACCCAAGAAACATCAGTTTGGTTTTTTCGGCGTAGGATACGATAATAGTAGACCAGAAAAGGTTTACAAGATGTTGGGCTATTATGTTGGTCGCCAGTACCATGGAGCTGCGATCTACGAGTCTGCGCCTCAGGCGTTGAAGTGTATTGATACACCTGACAAAGACTGGTCCTCAAGTGAAACAGCTAGACGAACAAACGTGTGCTTGAATGGAAATCTCTATTGGGTTGAAAGTAATCCGGAGTACTTCATCCGAAGCTTTGATTTCTCTACGGAGAACTTCAAGCCGTTTTGTCCCCTTCCGTGTCAGAAGATCCAAGATCTTGATGAACGTTTTCTCCTCGCGGTTTATAAGAGAGATGGGTTTTCTTTGTTAAAGCACTGCGATGCAACGGAGGAGGTTGAGGTTTGGGTAACAAAGAATAAGATCGATAAAGAGGAAGTGGTGGTGTGGATAAAACTCATGACTTTGCCTACTACTAACTTTCCAAGGCTAAGTAATGTGTTTTATCGCGTTAGTTACTTCATCTTTGACAAGACCCTATTCATGTGCATGGACGATTATACAAGCGGAGCGCCTTCCATCTACATTGTGAGGGGAGATATGTGCAAGAAGATTCAACAAGGTATTGAGTATTTTAACGGTTCTCACTGTGTTTATACCCCCAATATGATATCGGTTCCTTCCTTAATTTAGGATTAGGTTAGGTTGAGTGAATTGCAAGTCTCAGTTTTATCACTCTTTTTTTTGTGTGTGGCCTTTTCCTATCTTTTTTGTTTTGTTTTGTACGGAATCGAAACTGATATCAGAGGGTTTAAGCCTAAGTTTGATAATAAAAAACCTGCAACGAAAAGATTCTATTAATGTCTTGGATATATATATTGGTAAATGAATGATAGTATATGATGAGCCTTGTTGGATCTGTATTATATCCAACTCATATGCATATAGATTAATTATTGGTTTCACATGAACACTAATGTTTACTGTTAAATCAGGATTCCGAATGTTTCCTCTAACTCGTGATCTCACCAAGTCATATATCATGAAAACAGGAAAGTAAACGCAAAAACTACCAAAGACGAGTAGTTTCGAGGCTTTCATAAATGACTCAATAAGGTGTTCCATATATGAAACGTGAGATACCAACATAAGCACAAATCAGAAAAGTAGATTACAAAAGATAGAACTATGATTGCTTATGAAACCTGAGTTGCCCAATATAAAGCACAAATCGCAAAATATTCTTGATAACAAAGAAAAAAACCACTGTTGGGGAGAACTGAGAAGTCAGAGAGAAAATTACTGATATACAATTAACTCTCAACTTCAGTGTATTTAAAGACACAGTCATACAGCCTTCCTCCGAGAATCTCTGCTACTTCAAGATGCTTCACCTGCATATATAAACAAAAGGATGGTGGGAGATGAGAAATAAAAAAAATAAGCAAGAAACATAAAGCATCTCTTTTCATTACAATGAGAAAGAACAAAACTAAAACTAAAAGGATAATTTCATAGAACATGACGTAAAGAAGATGATTAGTTGTTTAGTGGAAGGAAAATTACTACGCCTACTTAGCTTTATTCATGATGTTCATCAAATGGCAAACGACGAGAAAGATAACTAAAGAGACGAAGAGCATAGAGTTAACTAATTGATTTTTTTGTAAATGTGTCACTCCAATATTAGTCATACTCAAATTTTATATAATAAAAATGAAAGTGAAGTATCTCTGTTTGCGTGGTCCAGCTCAATCGTAATAACTGATACACGACAACATTATCTATCAAACCAAATCCAAAACTAATTCTGCAAAGTTTTTCTTTATAAACTATTTTTGCAAACATGCATGCAATCAACTTGTTTTCAGTAATTTTTAATTAAAATACTTTGAATAGTTTTCAACACATGCTATGTAGATTTTGATTCTCTTAGAAACAAAACAGTGCACGCCCGAAGATTAATTAACCACAACCTTTTACTAGAGTAAATGGGTGGCTCCTCATTAAATTGAATCATCATCAATGTCATCTTCATGATAGTCTTCGAAGTTTATCAAATTGTATAGGTCCGTTCAATCCGGGTTAGCTTAATTTAGTGCTTTGATTTAGTTTATACGGTTGTATATAAACTCTGTAATCGTTTTCTTTTACGATTAACGAAATAACAAATTCATTTTCACAAAAGATCTTTGTTCACAGTTTCTATTATGGTATCACAGCATTTTTTTCTGCTAAATCTGGTAATTAATTGTCTTCATCATCGTTGTTTGATCTTCTACACAATTTATTTTGACGGAAATGGTGAAGAAAGGGTGAAAACTGAGGAATCAGAATACGGCACCTGAGGATGGAGCTTCTGCGATCAGATCTCGTCAGGAATCAGAAGTATACGAGGAATCCAAAGATGCGACGAATAAACAACAACGTTCTGGGAGATCGGCGAAGTACAACGGCCGTGGATCGATGCCAAAGAGGATGGAATCTATCGACAACATGCACAGTCCATTCTATCTATACTCGTCCGATCATCTAGGTTTAACTATCGTTGCTCATACTCTTGATGGAAGTAATTACAACAGCTGGTTTATTGCCATGAGAATTCGTCTAGATGCGAAGAACAAGTTGAGTTTCCTAGATGGATCTATGCCTAGGCCTTCTGAGAATGATTATTATTTCAAGATATGAAATCGTTGTAATAATATGGTAAAATCGTGGATTTTAAATGTTGTGAATAAGGAAATCTATGATAATATCATTTACTATCAAGATGCTGTTTAAATGTGGGATGATTTGTTCAGTCTGTTCAAAGTGAACAATCTGCCGAGAAAATATCAATTGGAACAGGCTGTGATGACATTCAAGCAAGAGTAACTTGATCTATCAATATACTTCACGAAGAAGAAGACCTTATGGGAACAGCTGGCTAATACAAGATCTCGTACCGTGAAGAAATGTGACTGTGATCAAGTGAAAGAACTTCTCGAGGAAGCAGAAACAAGCTGGATCATTCTTATGGGTTTGAATGACAGTTTCAATTACATCCGTGGTCAGATTCTGAACATGAAGCCGAGACCTGCATTGAATGAAATCTACAATATGCTGGATCTGGATGAAAGTCAGAGGGCTGTTGGTCTTACGTCTAGAGCCTCACCTATTCCCTCTGCATTTCAAGCTGAAGCAGTGATTCCAGATCAGAATGCTATTTTGGCTACACAGGGCAAGTTTCATAAACCAAAATGTTCCCATTGTTCTCGTGTTGGACACACGGTGAACAAATGTTACAAGGTTCATGGTTATCCGCCAGGACATCCTCGTGCTCCAAAGACTAACTCTATGGGAAACACTAATCTTGCTACTGTGGATAATATTCAAAGTCAGAATGGGGCAGGATTTGAAGGAGTGAATGAGTCTATGTCCAACGATCAGATACAATACATGATATCGTACTTGAGCTCCAAACTCCAATCTCCTAGCATCAATTCATCGTGCCTTGCTAAATCTTCTGCTTCGACTTCAACCTCTGCACCTTATGTCTCACAGATATATGGTACTTTCCTTTCTTTCTATGATCATTCTTTTTATGACATGCTAACTTCATCTATACCTCCAGAAACTGAGTTGTCTCTTAGATCTTGGGTAATAGATTTTGGGGCTAGTCATCATGTTACGCATGAAAGGAGTTTATATAGAGAATATAGGTCCATAGATAATACTTTTGTGAGACTGCCAAATGGTTTGACGGTTAAGATAGAAGGTACTGGTTTTATTCAACTAATGGATACTTTTATCTCTGCATTATGTGCTTTATATCCCTGATTTTAAATTAAGTCTGTTGAGTGTTAGTGTTTTAACCAAAACATTGAATTCTAAAGTTAGTTTTACATCTGATGCTTGCTTTATTCAGGCTCTTACTCAGGAGTTGATGATTGGTCAAGGTAGTCAAGTTGCCAACCTTTATGTTCTGCATCTAAATAAACTTGTCAGTTGATATGATCCCGGGCAATGATCGATCCTTTCAAGCTAAGTGATGAAGTACTTGTTGTGAAATGGTGGAATGATCCGAACGGTGGTAAGGGGGTTGTTTCGGTTGAAGGGGAAAAGTGGGGAAAGAGTGAAGATGGAATGTAGCAAGAGAGATGGAAGGCTCTTGATACAAAACTACTAGAATACAAGGATATGACGCACCTAGGTTCTAAGCAGGATTTCTAAAGGATATGACACACCAAGAGAGTTGATCTATTTTGTAAAGGAAAATTTATTCAAAAGATAGATGAAACCACACAAACAACTAACACACGGTTTTAAGGAGAGAAGAGAGAGAGGAAGGAGAACGGTCAACAAGAGAGCAATAAGTTGGTATTGGGACAAACCCCCTTGATATGCATGACTCTTGTTCAAAATATCACAAACTACAAGGAAAGACACAACTAAAACAAAGAAATGAACCTAGACACATCCAAGCCACAGATGGTAGAAAGAAGTGGGCTTGGAACAAGGCCAAGCTTAATGGGCAATGACATTGTGGGAATACTTGTCTCGTTAAAAACCTTAGTGAGAAAACTCAATGGGACAAAACTCACTAAGGGAAAAAGAGCACAAAGTATCCCACAAACCCACTAGCTTAGTCCCCGGCTACAATGCAGACCAATGTGGAACGTGTAGCCTCCTTAGTACTTGATTCATACTTAAACTGATTAAGTAGAACCTCTAAGGCATTTTGAAATGCCTTAGTCTTAGCTCGGGTCATTGGGCCTCCTTGCACCTTAAGAACTTCTTCAACCTCCTTCTGGTCTTGATCTTGTTGTCCAACGGCTACAAGCTCATCTTCTAGGTTAGATGTCCCCATGCTCATATCATCCCCTCCTTCTTGAAAAGGATTTGACCTCAAATCCAACTCATCTGCAACATAATGAAGTAAATCAGTAATGTTAAAACTTGAGCTAATAGGATACTTACCTTGGAGGTCAAGTTGATAGGCATTGTCGTTGATCTTCTTTGTAACTGTAAAAGGACCATCAATCCGTGGCATCAACTTGGATTTTCTCTCTGCTGGGAAGCGCTCTTTCCTTAGATGTACCCAAACTTGATCACCAGCTTCAAAAACCACCTTGTTTCTTCCTTTATTCGCATGTTTGGCATAGAGCTTAGTCTTCTCTTCTAAGTTCTTCTTAGCATCCGAATGTATTAGTTTGACCAAGTCGGCTTTTCTCTTTCTGTCCATACTTATCCTTTCACTCAAAGGTAAAGGCATTAAATCCAAAGGAGAAGTGGGGTTGGACCCATAAACAATCTGAAAAGGTGAATACTTAGAAGCAGAATGCACAGCATGGTTATATGCAAACTCTATATGCGGCAAACAATCCTCCCAAGACTTAAGGTTCTTTTTAATCAAAGCTCTCAACAATGTACCTAAAGTTCTATTTACTACCTCGGTCTGACCATCAGTTTGCGGATGACAAGTAGTAGAAAACATAAGCTTAGTTCCTAGCTTAGACCATAAGGTTTTCCAAAAGAAACTAAGGAACTTAGTGTCTCTATCCGAAACAATGGACTTAGGCATACCATGAATGCGAACTATTTCTTTAAAAAAAAGATTGGCTATATGCAAAGCATCATCTGTCTTATGAAAAGCAATAAAAGGAGCCATCTTAGAGAATCTATCCACTACAACAAAAATAGAGTCCTTGCCTGTCTTTGTTCTAGGCAAGCCTAAAACAAAGTCCATGGAAATATCATTCCACGGATGAGAGGGTATGGGTAAGGGTGAGTACAAACCGTGATTTTGGACCTTGGACTTGGCTTGTTTACAAGTATTGCATCTCCCACAAATCCTCTCCACATCCCGTCTCATGTGTGGCCAATAGAAATGATCTTTCATTACTTCTAAGGTTTTTGCTACGCCAAAGTGACCCATTAAACCGCCACCGTGTGCTTCCCTGATAAACAAATCTCTCATAGAACAATTAGGTACACAAAGACGGTTCTCATAGAAGAGAAACCCATCTTGTTTAAAGAATTTACCCGAAGGAGATTTGAAACAAGAAGCAAAAATTTCTG